CCGTATGAATAGGAATCTCTATCCTAAATGAACAGACCTTGTCAATTCTGAGAAGCCCTAAAGGGAAGAAGCAGAAAAGCAAGGAAGAGGAAGATGTTGCTAGCTTCCTTTGCCTTATGCAAAAATAGTTGCTACTTCCCTGAGCACCAGATTCACGTGGAACTCTTTCCTACACCACTCTCAATCACTTTGTGTTGTTGCAAGATTAAACTAATTTCTAGGAGGCGTGATGAGCTGGATTGAGGAATAAGCCAGAGCATAGTTATGAGAGGGTACCTGAGGCTGTGCTTTGGGATGGTGGGGTAATTGTTATGACTGAAAGTATCTATTCATGTAGTAATCCCTAACCCTGTTTTTGCTAATTTATTCAGCCTGTTAACACTGTGATTTTTAGTATGTAATCATGCAAACTTACATTAAATGTGCCATCTATGGATTTGCTAATGCTAGCTCAATTGGTTGGTTGTGCTTGGTTGTACAGAAAGTGTTGGTCTGGGACATGTGGCCTAAAAAGAAAATTCACAGGAGAAAACTTGAGGTAATATGTCTTATGCAAGTTTGTATGCTCTGTAGGTGTTACTTATCTTCAGGTGTGTCACGCCTATTTCGATTATTTTATGTTGTATCTTTAGGATGGCCAAGGTTCTTCGCATGACTGTTTAGGGAAATGAACGTTAGGGACTTTTCAAACCTGGATTTACCTCATCTTTACTCATGTCCCTTTGGACAAAGCATTTTAAATGGCAAATTGCTAATCATTGCATATGTGTGCAATGGGTAGAGTGAAATGTGCCATTTGACATCCATTATTGAAGTAGTATAACATAAGAAATATATTCTATATACATTTTTCTCTCTAACTTTGGGGGGAAATTACTGAGTTACATCATACATGTTATCCACGGTGTTTAAATATGTAAATGAATGAGGTAGAACACAAATTACAATGGATTCCTATGATACTTTTGTATTAAAAAAGCAGTTCATGGGCTTGAAAAGTGGCTCAGTGGTAGAGTGCTTGCCTTGCATGTATGAGGTCCTGGGTTCGATTCCTCAGCACCACATAAGCAGAAACCGCTGGAAGTGGTGCTGTGGCTCAAGTGGTAGAGCACTAGCCTTGAGGTAAAGAGCTGAGGGACAGAGCCCAGGCCCAGAGTTGAGGCACCTTGAATGGCAAAAAAAAAAGGAAAATAAAGTACTTCATACATCCCTAAGTATATTCAGTAATAATAACTTTTAATGGAAATATGTGTTTTTGCTTTCAATTATTCAATAATTCCAGTGGGGCCATTCATTTCTTTGAATTTAGTGTGTACATAAACATAGAAATTAGTTGCTTTAATAATATCTATCTAACAGGAAATTGACTGGATTTGTTTATTGGACACTTCAATGCTCTGCCTGAGACATTAAAGATTCTTTGCTTATAAGAAGGCTTTACTTTTTCAGGTAAAAATAAATAAAAATTTAAAAAAAAGTTTACGGTTTTGCATCCCATGTATCATGTTTGCAAGAGGAAATTCTGGGCCCAAAATCTCACAGATTCATTTCTGAATGCATCATTTCCCTTATATCCCAGCCATGTTTCCAGAATCTTCTGCTCGTTGTCAGCAGCAAGACAGAATGAATGGATCTCTGGTAAGTAGTTTTATTATTTTTCATTTGTTTTCCATTCCATTATATGAACCTAAAGATGTCCAAGAATTAAAAACAATACCAACCACACAGATTCAGCCTCAGTACCATTTTCATAAATCAGATAAAGAAGGCTTGTAAATTAGCAGATAAGGATTGCTTGTAGGTTTAGCAGATCAAATGGTTATATTCTAAGTTGAATTCAGATTAGCTTCAGAATGTCTAGGTTTCATCTTGTCATAAAATGTAGTCCTACCTGTTATGTGATGTAATGACACCAAGCAGGTTACTTCTCATGGAAAGTGAAGGATAGATTGCCACCAGATCACTTCCTCATGAGTAACATTAAACTATCCCAATGAAATTTTCTTGGAATTGCTGAATTAGTGTGGTCATACATACCTTCATGTGTTCTTAAGGAATGATTAACCTAAATGTACTTACATTACTCTGCATATATAGTTCTTGGACTGCTTCATGGTCTTGGTCTTACTTGAAACTTCGCCTGTATTTGTTGCTAAGCTTTATGGTCTTTCTACAAATTCCTGTTTGTTTTCTAAAGTATTCTGAAAAGATTTCTTTCTCTATTTTCTCTCTCTACTTTTTCTTTTCTTTTTTTTGTTGTTTTTTTTGTCGGTCGTGGGGCTTGAACTCTGGGCCTGGGTGCTGTCCCTCAGCTCTTCAGCTCAAGGCGAGCGCTCTACCACTTGAGCTACAGTGCAACTTCTGGTTTTCTGGTGGCTTATTGGAGATAGGAGTCTCACGGTCTCTCCTGCCCGGGCTGGCTTTGAACCGCGATCCTCAGAACTCTATTTTTGATTTTCTACTCGCTAGTGTTGGTTATTTTTCTCTTTCACTCTCTTTGTATCTAGCTTTCTATCATTTTTTTCTTTTTTCGTTCCCTCTTTCCTCCATATGTGTCTCAGTTGTTTCTTTTCTTCAAATGATCTATCTGGAACAAGATTTTCGTAGTGATCAGCTTTAAGTTGCTGACATGCCTCTTAGGATTGACATTTTTCTTACCAGTAGTATAGGAAAATTATTGCCTAGAGAGTTCTACAGGATTCCAGAAACAAAGAAAAGTAGAGACACACAAAAACACAAACAGATAGACGTACGGGAAACCAGGGTTCCAAAGGCTCTCTGGCACTTTGTCCCTGGGCGCCAGAAAGCTCCTATAGTTCCTTGAGTGCACACTGGGAAGATTACCTTTGATAACATGCAAAAATGAAGTATCTGCCAGGTGTTGGTGGCTCACGCCTGTAATCCTAGCTACTCAGGAGGCTGAGATCTGAGAATCGCGGTTCAAAGCCAGCCCGGGCAGGAGAGACTGTGAGACTCCTATCTCCAAATAACCACCAGAAAACTGGAAGTGGCGCTGTGGCTCAAGTGGTAGAGCACTCGCCTTGAAGAGCTAAGGGACAGCGCCCAGGCCCAGAGTTCAAGCCCCACGGACGACAAAAAAAAAAAAAAAAGAAGTATCTATATTAATAGTACAATCAGAGCCATAACAGGTTGTGAGGAAAACATGTTTCCTTATTCTCCTGAGACAGAAGACTGTCGCCCAGAGAAAATGCAGACATGGAGGTCACCTTACCTAACCTTCAAGGTCAACAGCACCTCAGTTTCAGATGCTATCTTTCCAACAGTAAGGAAAAGGCCTGCACTCCAGTCTCTTAACCCTCTCCAGAATTCTCTTTTAAGCCTTCTGCAGCCAGCTCTCACTTGTCTCAGTGCTGTCAGGCTGGAATTCCAACTTCTCAAACCTTTTTCCCTTCAGCCAACTTCAGAGTTCCCTACAGAAAAGTACTTCCTTCTACCAATTGATACACTACAAGAAAATCTGTTTTCTCCTGATTTTGTGTTGGTCTAACTTCATTTGATGTGGTATTTAATTTTGTTTTTCCATCCCACTACTGTTGAATATTTTAATTCACTGCCAGTATAAGATTGGAACTAGTGTTGAAAAAAAAAATAATACAGTGACAAGATGTTCTCAATTAGAAATATCACTTGCCGCAAAATCTCACAGATGTTTGCTCACTAATTGATTTTGATCTCTGAGGTATTTCACTATTAACTAACACAAGTGAAAATATATCCTTAGAGATACTCTGGAGAAAGGATTCAAGAATATGTGATGCGTTTGAGCATTTGGTCATATTTATCATTTTTGTCATCTTGAGTGTCCCTTGAGCCTCTCTATATTTGCCTTCACCTTCCATGAAGGCCTATTAAAATGAAAACCTTGTCAAGGAACATTTTTTTCCCTCCCACCTATATTTTGTATTGTAGAATGTAGGCAAAGTTGACAAAATTTCATGGTAGCAGTTCTTTTCTACATAAGAAGGAAATATCAGGGTATCTATGACCACATTTCAATATTTAGCATTTAAACCAAACATGGTAAACCACGGATATTTTTATGTGGGAACTCAATTAAATCTTATAAGGACCTAATCAATCATTAGTTACTTTCTGGAGTACTGTTCCTGTTTTTTGAACATTCATGTGGACACTGCTTTTCATAGATCTAGCAATGCTCTATGTTCTGTATTCCATGTGATATTCTGAATGTGTGCTGCTTGCTTTTGAGAGTACTTGTTAATAGAAGGTCTAAATAGGATTTATGGTGAAGCAGTATGTGTAAATGCAGGAAAAATATTGGTTTAATTCATTTTTACCCTGGTATGTACTGAAATTTTATCAAAAATGATAATATAATTTTTCAGACACCTCCTTAGACTTAATGTTATCATGCCAGATTATTGTCTCCTTAGAGTTTTTATCTTGTCTCTACTGCTAGCAGCAGAAATGTGATTGCATGCATTATGGAAACTGTAATTTTTTATTGGTCTTGGGGGTTGAATTCTGGGTCTGGTTGTTTTCCCTCAGCTCTTCAAGTCAAGGTGAGTGCTACCACTTGAGTGACAGTGCTACTTTCATTTTCTGGTGGTTTATTGGAGATAAGTGTCTCATGGACTTTCCTGCCTGGGCTGGCCTTGAACCTTGATCCTCAGACCTCAGCCTCCTGAATAGCTAGGATTGCAGGTATAAGCCACCAGCGCCCCACAAATCTGAGTATTTTAATGACCAGGTTTATGTATTGTCAAATATTTCTAGTTTGGTATTTAATTCTCCCAATGAATAGATAACAAAGGTAGCTGCAAACATTTTATGTAAGACAAAAGTATACATGCAGCATAATGAAATTCCAGGTTGGAATTCTCATAACCCAGGTCTAATTTCTTTATGGAAATGTGCCATTACAGAAGCTGGTGTCATTTGATGATGTGGCTGTGGACTTCACCTGGAAGGAGTGGCAGGATCTGGATCCTGATCAGAGGACCCTTCATAGAGATGTAATGCTGGAGACCTATAGCAACCTCATGTTCTTGGGTGAGCAAAGGTTATTTTTACTTGGAAGATCAAGTGCTTTTATTTTACTTATTTTTATTTTTTATTTTTTGGGTCCGGTCGTGGGGCCTGAACTCTGGGCCTGGGCACTGTCCCTCAGCTCTTCAGCTCAAGGCTAGCGCTTTACCACTTGAGCCACAGTGCCACTTCCGGATTTTTTCTTTTTGCTTATGTGGTGCTGAGGAATCGAACCCAGGGCCTCATGCATGCAAGGCAAGCGCTCTACCACTGAGCCACCTTCCCAGCCCCGAGTGCTTTTATTTTAGTAGACGTTAGACTATGTTACTTAGGGAGAAGATTCCAGTCCATTCCCAGGTAAAAAACTGCTGGTATAAAAGCCAGTCAAATTTGAGTCTGAGAGCTTGGTGTTGTTTGTCTTTCACACTAGTGCTTGAGCCACAATTCTATTTTCACTTTTGTTTTGGGGTATATTCTGTGTTTCCGTGCCCAGGTTGGTTTCAAACCTGCCTCTTCTGATCTCACCTCCTAAATATAGGATTACAGGTGTAAGCCTTTGGACCATTACATTTTCAAAAAAAAGATTGCAGGCCATGGGAAGTGTCATTTTTTTCTAAGGGAAACTTCAACTTCATTATATGTAACACAAGAGCTAATTTTATTCTCGTTTTTTAAGAAGGCAAATCAGTATTTGGACAATAGTTCTAAGCTATGATCTACTAATAGGAGACTGACTTCCTAGACTTGGGTAATTATTATAGGTGGATCTAGAGTCTAGAATAGAACATACATTACTACTGACAGTATGCTCTGGAAATCAGTAGGTGAAAGTGTGTATTTGTAAACCAAACCTGATACAGGGTTTAGTGGTTCAAGCTACAAATCCTAGATACTCCGGAGGCTGACATCTGAAGGTTTCAGTTTGAAACCAGCAGCTGTAAAAAATTGACCATGAGACTATCTCCAATTAACCATTCAAAAACTAGAAACGTAGTGAAGACTCAAACTAGTAGAATGCTAGCTTTTAGCAAAAGAGCTGAGTTCAAGCCATGCAGTTGGCAAAATAAACCCAAAGGTGGATTCTACTCCACAATGGAGCAGTTAAGAATTGAGAAACCATGGGTTTGGAAGTTGGCTCAGTGGTAGAGGAATTGCCTTCCATGCATGAGTCCCTGTGTTCAATTCTTCAGCAGCACATAAGCAGAAAATAAAAGCCGGAATTGGCATTATGGCTCATGTGATACAGTGTTAGTCTTGAGCTGAAGATCTGCCGGACAGTGCCCAGGACCAGAGTTCAGGTCCCACAACAAGACTGCCCCCACAACAACAATTGAGGAACCACATTTAGGAGCAACCTTGTGAACAGGATGTCTGCGACCTTATGTTAATGATGACCCAGCACGACAAATTGTTCTCCACTGTTTCTTATTCATAGGGCTCTGTGTACCTAAACCAGAATTGATTGTGAGGCTGGAGCAAGGTTCAGAACCATGGATAAGAGAAGCCTCAGACAAGAATTTCACAGGTGAGTTAAAGCATCTACAATGCTAATGATGGGTCCAGAGCCCAGTTGATCTGTTTATCTTGAGCTGTACAGAGCAATAGTATTCTTGTCAATCCAGAATTCACTGGGGACAAACTGAATTTGGTGTGCCATTGTAGTTAATATTAGCAACTCTCCTTGTCTGTAGAGAAGTCATTGTTTAAGAGAAAAAGACAATAGGACATGTACAAAAGGAGATCTCATTTTCTTTTAAACTAGTATTATGCAGGTAGGAGGAAAATAGGAGAATGGTAGTGCTGCTATTCTCTCATCAGGACAATAGCTTATGAGTTGTGCTGGGCATAGAGTGACATTCAGAATGTAGATGTAGTGACATTCAGAGTATGTAGATGAACAATTTGAGTAAATATTTCCTAGAAAAAAATAGAAAAATCTGAAATACAGAAAAACATTATTTTCCATTGTAAAATGTCAGTACTACATTCATAGTTAGTATGTTGCAGAGAAAAGTTTATATTCTGCAGAAAACAATGCTTTGATATTTGAAAATCTTGTAACACTTAAAATGTGAGAAAATACCTTTACAGTAAGGAATTTATGGACTTCATTTATGTTTTTGTCTATTTTTCTGTTATGCATTTTAGATGTCCCACAAATGGAGGATGTGATTAGCACCTGTCAGGAAAGTCACAATAAATATCTCTCTGAAGTAGCAGTCATGAATAGTAACCCAGGGGAGGAAAAAGTGAGACTTATAAAAAGTTTTAATTTGAGCTCAAAACAGAAGTCAGAACTGATTAAGAATAATGTGAACTCCTTAGGAATGAGGACAGAAAAGGTCACTGGGAATCAGAACATGAGTGTTTTCAGTGAACCTGGTAAGATGTGTGCTGTATATAGTCCTCATTTGTCTTCTATAGTTGAAGAATATAAACAATATAAAAGGTCTTTCACCGAGAAGACACACCCTATTGTCCCTCAGAGAACATACACAGGAAAGAAACCATATGAAAGTAAAATGTGTGGAAAGATTTTCACCAGTAAGGCATATCTTACTGTCCATGAGAGAAGACACCAAAATGAGAATCTTTTTGAATGTAACATGTGTGAAATGTCTTTTACCTTGAAGTCAAACCTAACTCTCCACCAGAGAACGCACACAAGAAAGAATCCTTATGAATGTAACATTTGTGGAAAGTCTTTCACCTGGAAGTCAAACCTCACTATCCATGAGAGAACACACACAGAAGAGAAAACTTATGAATGTAACATGTGTGGAAAGTCTTTCGCCAAAAAGGCATGCCTTACTATCCACCAGAGAACACATACTAGAGAGAAACGTTTTGAATGTAACATCTGTGGTAAGTCTTTCACCCAGAAATCAAAGCTTACTGTCCACCAGAGAACACACACAAAAGAAAAACCTTTTGAATGTAACATGTGTGTTAAGTCTTTCACCCAGAAGTCAACTCTCACTGTCCATCAGAGAATACACACAGGAAAGAAACCTTATGAATGTAACATGTGTGGAAAGTCTTTCATCCAGAAGTCAGGGCTTACTGTCCACCAGAAAAGACACACAGGCGAGAAACCTTTTGAATGTAACATGTGTAAAATGTCTTTTGCCTGGAAATCAAGCCTTACTGTCCACCAGAGAACACACACAGGAAAGAAACCTTATGAATGTAACCTGTGTGGAAAGTCTTTCACCCGGAAGTCACACCTTATTGTCCACCAGAGAACACACACTGGAAAGAAACCTTATGAATGTAACGTGTGGAAATTCTTTCACCAAGAAGCCAAACCTTACTGTCCACCAGAGAACACACACAGGACAGAAACCTTATGAATGTAACGTGTGTGGAAAGTCTTTCACCCAGAAGGCACACCTTACTGTCCACCAGAGAACACACACTGGAAAGAAACCTTATGAATGTAACGTGTGTGGAAATTCTTTCACCAAGAAGTCAAACCTTACTGTCCACCAGAGAACACACACAGGAAAGAAACCTTATGAATGTAACGTGTGTGGAAAGTCTTTCACCCAGAAGGCACACCTTACTGTCCACCAGAGAACACACACTGGAAAGAAACCTTATGAATGTAACGTGTGTGGAAAGTCTTTCACCCAGAAGGCACACCTTACTGTCCACCAGAGAACACACACAGGAAAGAAACCTTATGAATGTAACATGTGTGAAAGGTCTTTTACCTGGAAGTCAAACCTTACTGTCCACCAGAGAACACACACAGGAAAGAAACCTTATGAATATAACGTGTGTGGAAAGTCTTTCACCCAGAAGCTACACTTTACTGTCCACCAGAGAACACACACGAGAGAAACCTTATGAATGTAACATGTGTGGAAAGTCTTTCACCAAGAAGTCAAACCTTACTGTCCAACAGAGAACACACACAGGAAAGAAACCTTATCATGTAACGTGTATGGAAAGTCTTTCACCCAGAAGGTACACATTACTGTCCATTAGAGAACACATACAGGAGAGAAACATTATGAATGTAACGTGTGGAAAGTCTTTCACCAAGAAATCAAACCTTACTGTCCATCAGAAAACAAACACAGGAACGAAACCTTATGAATGTCATATGTGTGGAAAATATTTCAGCCAAGAGCTCCAAGTTACTGTCCATCAGGGAGCACACACAAGAGAGAAATTTTATGAATGTAAGCTATGTGGAAAGTCTTTCACCCAGAACATACACCTTTCTGTCCATCAGAAAAAACCCCACCAGAGAGAAATGTTATGTATATAGCAGGCATGGAAATTCTTTCACCTGGAAGGCACACCATAACATCCATCACAGAACACAAGGAGAGAAACCTTATGAATGCAACCAGTGTGGAAAGACCTGGAGGTCATAGCTTAACACACATAAGTTGATTCACACAAATGAAATAACTTAGGATTGTACCAAATGGGAAAGTCTTTGATCTGTAAGAAAATTAAAATTGCAATACAGAACCTATACAGGATAGAGACCTTATGATATAGCACATGTGGAGTCCTCTAACTACAAGATACAACTGAGGGTCCATCATAGAACACACAAAACACACAGACACACACACACACAAACACACAACCTCACACTCAAAGAGGAGAGAAATCCTATGTAGCAAAAATTAATGGAAAGGTTTTCAAGAAACAGTCCTAACTCAGTTTGCATCAGAGAACAGACACAGGTGAGAAAATACAAATGTAACAATTGTGGAAAGTCCTTTACCAAGTATTCATGGATCCAAGTTCATAGGACACACAGCAGAGTAATCTTAAAAATATTACAAATGTGGAAATCCTTTGATCAGAAAGGAATACCTCATGTTCATCAGAGAACTGACTCACATAGGAGAAAAGAAAGTAGTGCATAGATCATACGTGAAATGACTTTCAATCAGAACTGAGTCCTCAGCATATGTGAGAGCATAGACAGGTAAGAAATTATGAGTATAGAAAACATTTTGCCAGGAGTCAAATCTGAACAGGTATTAGAGACCTGGACACATGACAGAATCTCTGTAAATATAAACATGAGAGGAAGTCTTTCAACCAGAAGACAACCCTCAGCAAGTATTAGAACATTCACCCAGGAAAGAAACCCATTGTAGGAAAATCTTTGTCAGAAAACCTGTGTAAATTATACAGAGAAATCCTTCATCGCAGAGATAAGCTAGGTGTGATGGAAAACCATTCTTCACTCTTCAACTCTTTTTGAGCCAACATTTCTCACATTTTCATCGTGTTGAGTGGGGATGGTGTCATTCAATATTATCCAAACATGTGGAAATGACCAGTTATAACAAGTAATTCAGAGATTGAAGTTATTAACTTGCATCTTTTATAATAAGGAATGGTATATTAGGGTAATTTGATAATCTCTTCTAAGAAATATGAGGTCTTTCCCTTTGGGACTGGATTCAGATCATCTCCAACATGGTTAGGGGAACAATAGTTGAGTGAAGACTGTTATGATTGGAGGCAAGAACATGAGAGCAACTTTTTTTCTATTGCTCCCTTAAGTCCTCCTCTATTTGTGTGATCCAGCATTACTGTACAAATGACTAACATTCAGTTATTGAATGGAAGATCTACTGGAAGATATTAGTCCTTATTGCAGTACATACATAGTAGTAAATTTTTTCTCGGAGGGGTAACAATGCTCGATAGGAAATGTATTCATGACCTAATTCATATAATTGTATAACCAATTTGTACAGTATCTTTACAATAAAATATATATTATAAAAATATGGTGGATTTATAAAGACAAGAGTCTCAGCATTTTGACTTGGGGGAAAACTTCAAAATATCTTCAGTGCTTGCTGTTTTATTTAATTAATCACTGGTGATGAACAATCACTGGTGATTGATTCACTCTTAGCCCATTTAGTTGTTCTGCTGAGTGAGCTATAATAAAACACCAGTGTGAATGGTGTGTCGCAACTGTGTTATCTCATAGATGGCCAATGTAAGATATGACATTAGTGGAAATAATCAAGCACACAAAGATATTAATCTCACAAAAATTGAAATAAATACTATCTGCCACTTGAGCTACAGCATCACTTCTAGGCCCTGAGAGGAAGGAAAGAAGGAAGGAGAGAAGTGAGAAAGGGAAAGAGGAAGGGAAAGAATGAGGAAGAAGTAAGAAATAAACTATTCAAAAGAAGAATGTTTAATTTTTGGTGAATGGGAGAATTATTCTTTCAGAGGTGTGGCTCAAGAAAAATGGCTTTTACAAAAAGCAAATTCTTGAATTGTTTACAAAATGATAAAGAGGATGTATCATTTTATAAATTGATTTAATATTCAGTAATATTAAGTAAGGAGGTCAGGTGTGGCTGGTGCCTTATTGGCCACATGGTGGACAGTGAGGTCTGGCATCTTGTCTTCATGCAGGGGGAAGGAAATGCCCCATCCATCACTTGCCTCCCAAATGATGGGTGTGGCTGGATCCCTGGAAGCAGGCATGGACATTTGTCTGATATGTTACTCAATCTG